GGTTGGATCGTGAAGGTAGCAGCCTAAGTAGGAAGGCCCAAACTTCCCTCTCCCTAGCCACTTGGGCCAGCTCCTCTGGGGGAAACCCAAGGCGTTCGCAGGCCAGCCGAGAAACATAGTCCCTCCAGCATGTCCTGGGTCTTCCTCTGGGTCTCATCCTGGTGGGACGTGACCGGAATACCTCACCAGGGAGTCGTCCAGGAGGCATCCTAACCAGATCCTCTCGATGTGGAGAAGCAGTGGCTCTACGCTGAGTCCCTCCTGGATGATCGAGCTTTTCTCACCCTCTCTCTAAGGGAGAGTCCAGACACCCTGCAGAGAACACTCATTTTGGCTTCTTGTATCCGAGATCTCGTTCTTTTGGTCACAACCCAAAACTCATGACCATAGATGAGGGTAGAAACGTAGAATGACCAGTAAATTGAGAGCTTCACCATTTGACTCAGCTCTGTCTTCACCACGACAGACTGGAACAGCACCCGCTTCACTGCCGACGCTGCAACTATTCACCTATTGATCTCCCGTTCCATTTTTCCCTAATTCGTGAACAAGATCCTGAGATACTTAAACTCCTCCACATGGGGCAGGACCTCCTCCCCGATTTGGAGAGGGCGCTCTACCCTTTTCCGTCTCAAGACCATGGCCTCAGATTTAGAGGAACTGATCCTCATCCTGGCCACGTCACACTTGGCTGTGATCTGCTCCAGCGAAAGCTGTAGACCACGAACTGATGAAGCCAATAGGACTACATCATCTGCAAAAAGCAGAGATGCGATCCTAAGGTCACCAAAACAGATCCCCTCAACACCTTGGCTGTGCCTAGAAATTCTGTCCATAAAAGTTATGAACAGAATCTGTGACAAAGGGCAACCTTGGTGGTGTCCAACTCTCACTGGGAACGAGCCCAACTTACTGCCGGCAATGCAGACCAGGCTCTGACACCGGTCATACAGGGACCTAACAGCCTGTATCAAAGGACCTGGTACCCCATACTCCCGGATTAACACAGGGTTCCCCAAGGGACGTGGTCGAAGGCCTTCTCCAAGTCCACAAAGCACATGTAGACTGGTTGGGCAAACTCCCACGCACCTTCCAGGACCCTGTTGAGAGTGTAGAGCTGGTCCAGTGTTCCACGACCAGGACAAAAACTGCACTGCTCCTCCTAAATCTGAGGTTTGACTATCTGATGGACCCTCCTCTCCAGAACCCCTGAATAGACCAGGGAGGCTTAAGAGCGTGATCCCCTGTAGTTGGAACACAATCTAAGGTTCCCCTTTTTGAATAGGGGGACCACCACCCCTGTCTGCCAATCCAGGGGAACTGCCCCCGATGTCCACGCAATATTGCAGAGTCGTACACAACCCTACAACATCCAGAACTTTAAGGAACTCTGAAGTTATCATGGCCTCTGCCTCTACTTGTAATGTGCATTTAAAAATGATGTTTAGACTGTAGGCTATATGAACACTTTGTGACATGTTAATTAGTCTATTTCTTATTATTGCTGCTTTATGTTTTGACACAAATATTCTTAAAATGATGTTTTTAATGTCTTCTGGTTTCTTGAGTCAAACAAATATTTAGATAATTAGTATAGTAAAATCAAAATATTGTGCATTTTTTAATCACAATTGGTTAAAAATAAGTTTTAAAAAAGCAATAACTGACATTTTCTTTTTTTCTTAACGACACCTGCATCACCTGTTTCATTCACCCAGTCAATGCTAAAATTAGATTTTTCACGTAATGGTGGGGAAAGATGGAGGATTTCCGTGCAGGATGTGAAGAAAAAGCCCCTCATCATGCTGCGTTGCCCTGACTGTTGCTAAATGTTGCCCATTGAAACATGAAACAGTATTACCATTGTTTTGTGTGGTTCCCATGCTCTTCTCTGCGTGTGCTGCTGTTTATGGGTCTTTGTCGTGGTGAGGTCATTTCCCACGTTTTCAACAATAGAAGAATGTGAGTGGACGCAGAGGAAAAGAGGAAGCAGGGAGAGATGTGGGGCATGTTAGTGTTTTTGTGTAGTTTTTCTTATTGCTCTGACCTCACCTTAAGTCTCTAATCGGCTCAGTGACAGAGCTCAGCAGTGGGGGAACTGGAGGGTGTCTGTTCAGGGAAAAAAAAACTAAATTGCACACAAGTGAAAGGTATTTTAACATTCATGCATCCACAAGAACTCATCTGCGAGGAGGGGGGATTGGAATTACCTTCCAACCATCCATCAGTGCATAATGTGAGCATGATAACTTGAAAAACAAGTGAGGTTCCAACTTCCATTTTGTTGTGTGGCTGTATTTAGGTGTAAGAAAGGTCACTAACCATTGGGTTGCCTTGTCAAAATCCAAGCTGGCCACCACCATATACATACAAACATACATACATACATACATACATACATACATACATACA